AAGCTCTCATATCCTCCGAGCAGCGAGGTATCAAGCCAAGTGCGAAGCACGAACTGGAATGGATATCCTCCGAGCAGCGAGTTATCAAGCCAAGTGCAAAGCACGAACTGGAATGGAGCAAGGTATTCCACTCCCTCATCCGGACAGATCTGATCACGTCCAAACTCCCCAGCGAAGCATCGTCAACCGATGTCAATTGCAGATCTACTGCGCATCTGGTCGCATTGTAACCCCTCTGTGGGAGAAGTTCACTGTTGTGAGCAGAAGAAGAGAATCTAGTAGAATGCTAGGGGTAAGAGCCCGCAACTTGCTGTTTATCCATCAACCACCCTGGGGGGGATGAAAAATGAGAGATTAAATAATAGAGAGATGTGCGCTGAGAGGAAAAGAGAGGAAAGGGTTTTGAGAGAAAAATCGAGCTTGAGGGCCGAGTGATGTGAGAATCACAAATGAGAAAGGGTGGAAAATAATTCCCAGAGAAACAGGCTCCCTGTGCATGTCTGCGTGTCGTGTCTTTTTGTTTTATCTCGATTCTTGTTTTGAGTCGTTTCGAGTGTTACTCGATGTGTTTAGGTTGTTTACCTTTTGTTTTCCGTTGTTGAGTCGTAGTGCGCTGTGTTCAGTCGTAGGCTCAATACCCCGGTTAAGAACTCATCTCTTAATTTCAAAAATAAAATCATTTTGCGCTCCGAGCGCCGTGCCGTGCTCCATATCTATGAAAAACAAGATTCGTTTTTTCATAAAACCGCAGGGTTCAACCCAGGTCATGCGCGAACAGTAAAACCAGGACCTATCTGAAGCTATAGGTTCCAGACTGCAAAGCAAAAGAAAATGGGAAAATTTTGAGCATCTGAGTGTGTTTCACCTTCAGAAAATTCCGAGATTACATTCCATATGCACCTCCTCAGACCTTGTTAATACTACCGAAGTATGAGTGTGCCTCTACCTCAAGTATAAGCCTCCTTCAAGTCAAAGTGGCGGTCTAAGCAGCACATGTGGTTTTCACATACAGATGTTATCTCTTGCCAACATAAACGGGGTGTACCCTTTTCGAGCTGAGTGTGTTGCAAAGCCCTCTGAGAGATAAATCGAAGGCACCAGAGTACATG